TTGCAAGTAAGCTTCTATTGAAGATTATAAAAAAAATGACTGGAATAACACATCAGCAGAAAACTGCCAGAAGTCCAGGCTGGGTTTAGAAGGGGTCGTGGTACAAGGGATATTGTAGGATCTTAGCTCAAAGCAGGGAATACCAGAGGAATGTATATCTGTGTTTCATTGACTATGCAAAGGTGTTTGACTGTGTGGATCATAACAAACTGTGGATGACTCTAAGAAGAATGGGAATCCTAGTACACTTGATTGTGCTAATGAGAAACCTATACTTGGCCCAAGAAGCAGTAGTCAGAACAGAGCAAGGAAACACTGCATGGTTCAAAATTGGGAAGGGAATACACCAGGGATGTGTACTGTCTCCATACTTTTTCAACTTGTATGCAGAACAGATTATCCGGGAGGCTGGACTCTGTGAGGAAGCATGTGGGGTCAAGATTGGTGGAAGATCTATCAACAATCTGTGATATGCAGTTGACACAACCCTGCTTGCTGAAACTGAGGAGGACCTGAAGCGCTTGCTGCAGAGGGTCAAGGACTGTAGCCTCCAATATAGATTGAGGTTCAATGTCAAGAGAACAAAGATTTTCACCACTGGGCCAATTGGCAGCATCAGGATGGATGGGGAAGAGATTGAGATTGTTCACAGCTTTAGTTTTCTTGACTCCACAGTCAGCACTCTTGGCACCAGTAGCCAGGAAATTAAAAGACATTGCCATGGGAAAATCTACTGTTAGGGACCTCTCCAAAGTACTGAGGAGCAATGGTGTCTCTCTGGACACTAAGGTGCATCTGATACAGGCCATGGTCTTTGCTATCACTTATTATGCATCAGAGAGTTGGACAATGACTAAGGAAGATAGAAGGAGAATTGATTCCTTTGAGCTGTGGTGCTGGAGAAGAGTATAGTGGGTACCATGGACTGCTAGGAAAACAAACAAGTTCATCCTGGAGAGGGCTAAACCAGGCTGCTCCTTGGAGGCAAGGATTCTGAGGCTCCATCTAACATACTTTGGACATGTTGTAAGGAGGGGCCAGTCCTTGGAGAGAGACATCATGCTTGGGAGGGTGGAGGGACAGCACAGGAGGAGAAGGCCCTCTATGAGGTGGATTGATTAAATGACTGTGGTAATCAGGAAGGGTGTATTGGAGATGGTGTGATTGGCACAGGACAGAGCAGAGTTTAGGGCTGTTGTACATAGGGTCACTATGAGTCGCAAGTGACTTGACGGTGCATAACAACAACAACAACATAACAATCTCGTCTCCAAGCATCACGGTGCTGCCAATTGGTCCAGAGGTGAGAACCCTTTGTCTTCCTGATGTTAAGCTTTGATCCATATTAAAGACAACAGTCCTTGACTTTCTGCTGCAAATGCTTCAGATCCTTCTTAGTTTTGGCAAAGGAGGTTGTATCATCGACATAATGCAAGTTTCTGATGAGTCTTCCTCCATTCCTGATGCCACACTCTTCCTCATAAAGTCCAGCCTCCTGAATGATCTGTTCAGCGTACAGATTAAAATGGTATGGAGACAAGACAGATCCCTAATACTCTTCTTTCCTGATTTTGAATCATGCAGTGCTTCCTTGCTCTGCTCTGATGACTGCCTCCTGGTCCAAGTATAGGTTTCACCTCAGCACAATCAAGTGTTCTGTCTTCTCAAATTTAGCTCCAATTTGTTGTGATCTACACAGTCAAATGCCTTTGCATTGCTAATGAAGCACAGGTCAAAATTCCTCTGGTACTCTTTTATTTCAGCCAAAAGCAATATCTGACATTGGAAGGGTCTTTTCTAAACCCAGCTTGTATTTCTCGTAGTTCTCTGTTAATGTACTGTTCCAGTTGGTTTTTTTAATCTTCAGCAATATTTTGCTTATGTGTGATAGTAGTGATAAATAAGAATCAATGCCTTTGAATTTTGGTGTTAGAGAAGATTATCGAATATTCCATGTGGTTGCTGTTATGTGTCATAGAATTTGAAGCATAACTCTAGTGTGTTTTCAGAGGCAGTAAACTGAATGAGAAAAGATTGCCCATCCTTGTCCTGTGAAGCAATTATTCTCAGTGCAATTATGGAGTTTGGATTGTGTGCCCTTGGGATTGCAGCATGGCTTTTCAACATGGACTACCAAAAGAACAAAAGTGTTCTGAGGCAATGAAACTAGGGGTTTCCTGAGAGTCAAGGGTGGTGAAAATTCATCTCCTATATTTGTGGCATGTTGTCAAGAAGGGCCAAATCTTGGAAAAAGACATCAGACTTGGAAATATGGAAAGTCAGAATAAGAAAGGAAGACTCTCAACAAGATGGATTGACCTAGTCGCTTGCACAATAGGCTCAAGTATATCAGAGATGATGAGGATGACACAAAATTCATATCGGCTGTTCACAGGGTTGCCATGAATCGTAGTCCTCTCAATGGCACTTAACAACAACAACAACAACAACAACAACAACAATAAGAACAATATTCCCTCAGATCCTGGATCTGAGATGTGGAAGTGGTGTCCAATCTCTAATCTTTTTGTGCTTCTGTTCTTTGGGGTTGGGTGTTCTGTTCACAGAGGGAATGCCCTTTTTACCAATAGACAATGTGAAGTTCCTATTGAACGCAAGCTGTAACTGAAACATGAGCATCTAGCACTTCTATGTCTAGGGAACAGCCAGTGAATAATAGTCGTTGTCTTGGCAATGATAATTGACTTTGATCAACAGAAGATTGGAGAACAGCTATTCCACAGTTAAGATAGAGAGACATACATGTTGTATTTAGATTATGAATTTTGGTGAACTCTTTCACAAATTGTAACTGTGAATGTAAAGTAGCTCTGGACTGAGAAAGGTATGATACTCTGGGTCTACTAGAAGTTAAGAAAGACATTAAAAGATATTATCTTAGGGCCTTTGGAGAAACTTCGGCTCCACCAACACCCTGAGAATGTTCCTTTACTCAGTCTCATGGCCGAGTTAAAAACAAATTCAATGCACCTTCCACGAGGCTTCAGAGGCTGTAGATCACACAGAATGAGAACTGCCACCTGTATCTCTCAGATCTGCTGGTGGATTCAAACAACCAGAGGAAAATGGCCTTTGAGTTAGCAGTGCAACTCCCTGTGAACTCTCACCAAAGCTGGGGCCACTGTTGTAAAATGGGACTGACATCAGGGTTGAGGGAAGTCCGAGAAAGAGGAGATAAATAATGGATACTGCATTGAAACAGATGAGGAAGAGAACTGTTTTAAAAGGATATATGATTAGGTATTATTGTCATGACAGGAGTCCAGAATGAAGGCTGCCTAGTGGAGTGGACCTAGGGGGAGGGATTGCATAACAATGAAAGAATTTTTTTTTTTACTTTTCAAAGAGAAGAGCAAATTGGGGTGGGCGAAGGAGGGTGGGGATGGGCAGGGAGAAAAGTGCAACAATGAATGCATGGATACCCTAAGTCTCTGTAAACTTTAATTAAAATTTATTAAAAAAAGAGAGGGGGGAAAGGTGCTCTTTAAGAGCAAGGATTGTGAGACTTCACCTTACATACTTGGGCAAGTTATCAGTAGAGGCCTGTCTTTAGAAAAAGATTCCATGCCTGGAAGAGTAGAGGGTCAGTGAAGGAGAAAAAACCCTCACGGAGATGGAATGACAGTAACTGCAACCATGGGTCTAAGCTTGGTGAAGATGGTGAGGACTGCACAGGATTGGGCAGGATTTGATTCTGTTGGACACAGGGTCTCAATGAGTGGTAGTCATGTCAATGGCACCTAACATCACTACCATCACCAGCTTTCAAGACTGAAACTATAAACACATTTCTATTGTTTATAAAAGTACCTACTTTGGCCTTTTTTGTTATGTCTGCCTTACGACTCTTGCTTTTCAGATGTCGATGCATGTGAAAATATAGAAAGGAGGGCAGGAATGAATAATGGACAATAGATTTGGGGGGGGGGGGAGGAAGTTATTTGTCCCAAGTGCATCAAGGTGAGTAGTCAGAGCGGAGATCTCTTGAAGCAGGGCCCCTCTGAATAAAGTGCTCTGCTTCCTGCTGCTGTTGCAGCTACATCTCCATGAGTGTGTCTATGCTCACTTCTCATGCCCCTTCATGCCACACAGGATCATGAGTAAGCAGCTCCCTTCCTGAGAAATGAATTGTTTTAGGCACTGTGGAGTTGATGATTCAAAGGCCCCCTGTGAGCAAAAGATTGGAGCCTTATCTTATCCTGAACCATCATCATCAGCTCTGATATGCTTGAACCCATTGTTACAGTCACTGTGTCAATCCATCCTGTTGGGGGTCTAACACTCTTTCTCTGCTCTCCATGATTTCCCAGCATGGTGTCTTCTCCCAAGGTCTGGTCCCTCCTGACACCACGCCAAAACTATGCAAGATAAAGTTTGTGAGTTTTTTAAAATTATGTACTCACTTCGTATTTGCTGGATGTGATATTTTTTTTGAAGGGCTTTTGATTTTACCATCTAAAAATGATTAGATTCTTACTCTGGTAAAGAAGTTTTCTGTTTATGTCATCTTTATTTGTTTACAATCCATGAGCATAATTTTACATATTAACCTTTCTATATCATTATAATTCATATATTAACTAAAATAATAACAATCCTTATAGAATCTTTATTTTTGGGAACTAAATGTGCAAAGTTTATGATGCTATTTTACTTTGCCCTCCCTAATTGTCAATGGTAAACTCTGAGAAGTAAAAGGGCCAATTTAATATTACATTGCAAGTTTAAACTTTGTAGAATAAATTAACTTGTCTTCACCAACACCAAGTAAAGAATTAACAGGTTAAAGGGTGAATGATAATCTTGACATGATTTCATTATTATAATCTTATTTATACTTATTACTCATTTAACTTTTTATTCCGATCTAAGCAGGACGAAAAGTGTACCTCCTCGTACAACAGAACTATTAATGGAAATGGGACACACACTCATTTGCTGTTATTTTGGACATTATCTTGTTTTAAAGTGTGACTTGTTCATGTCTTGAGCCTCTTACTGAGCAGAGACTGTTTATCTGGGCATAATCCATTTCTCTTCCTGCTGGGATTTTCTTTGGCTTCGGTGGGACCATCACTGGGCAATTCCGAGCGTGTGTCCTTAAACATGAACAAGACAAGAACACGGACTGATGGGTGACTCCTCTCTAACCCACTGAACCTCTAAAACACTCATTTTACAGGTCAACAAACAAAAACACAAAAGGGGAAAATCCTACACTGATTGTTCCTTCCTGTTATTGTCGCTGGGAGTAAATATCCTTCCTTGAGTCAATTTCAACTCATTCCTACTGCAGGGATCAGAGTGAAGACGTGAGTTCCATAAGGTTTTCTTGACTGAAATCTTTATGCAAAGGAGCCCTGATGGCATGGTGGGCAGCTAACCGAAAGGTAAGTGGTTCATATGCATCAGCTGTCCCTCAGGCAAAAGAGGGAGCAGTTGCTGTGAGTCAAAACTGATTTGATAGTAGCTGTGGGTTTTGTTTTTTAATGCTTGGATGGATTTCAGAGCTGTGATTCTGTCCTGGACTTGATATGCTACTTTTGAACATTAGGTACTTCCCCTCCCTCCTGCCCCCCCCCCCCCAACTGGTTTTTGTTGTTAGGGAAGGGAAAGAAACAATCCTGTTAGCAAATTATTTGCTCTCATGCTTTTAATCATGAGAAAGATTCTGCTGACTGCCCTGGATGTGCAGGCAGGCTTCTGAGGCACTGAGTGTTCCTTTATTCATCTCAGTTATAAACAAATAACAAATTATGCAATGAGGCCTCCCAAGTTTTTGCCTCTCAGTTTCACTGACCCAGGGAGCTCTTTCTCACACCCTGAGTTACCCAGTGAGAGAATGGACAGGCCCTCTGCTGGAAGCATATCAAGTGTAGAAACTAGGCCACTGGGAGGATGGCTCTCAGACCCAGGCTGCTACTGGAAGCCTGCACTTTCATTCTCATCAGGACCAAATGCTGGCACCTTGAATCACATTGTTAAGGCCTATGTAGGGGTGAGAGCCTGCGTCAGGCAGCCTGAGACATACAGGAGACCGACTAGAAGACATTTGCTACCATCCCTATGTATAAAGCTCTTTGTTACAGGACTAAGTTCTGTTAGGTCTAGGAAAGGTTCTGCAAGAACAGTTCTTTGATTTTATTCTTTTCATATGGGATGAAACAGGACTTATTTTAATTGTTTACTCATAACTGCAATAAGAAGTCAACCCTACCATGAACTGATTTTGTTCTTAAGGTTTCTATGTGATTTTTAAAAAACCCAAGTGTACATTCCTTCATTTCCATTTTCCCCTCTGCCACCCCACCAAGTTCCCAACATTTTAACTTTTTCCTCTAAAAATAAAGTAGTAGAATCTTACCTTTGTTCTGCACAAAGTCTTCTCAGAGATCATGCTTTCAGCTTTGGAGCCTGTGGATTCTTCCAAAACTAAATCAAAAAGGATATGGTAGAGAAGACTAAATAACAGAAAAATCTTTAAAAACAGTAGTACCCATAGGACCACTCTCAATGAAGTAGTGATGGAGAGATGAATGTGATATATTACAGAAAAGTTATTATTTTTTAAAAGTGTAATTTTTTCAGCATTTTAATTTTTAAGGTAGCATTCCATCATCAATTCTCAAAATTGCTGAGCCCACCATAATATTGCTGTGTCCTCTTTTTGGAGTCAACAAGTGACACAAACTAAGGTTAACATGCCTGCCTGCTGACATAAAAACCCCCCAAACCTCGCCTGTCTAGTTCCATCCTCACCATCTCTGACACACTTGAGCCCATTGTTACTGTCATTGGGTCAATTTGTCTTGTGGAGGGTTTTGTTTCTTTTTTTTTTTTCTCTCTCTTACACTGAACATCTACCTTTCAAAGCAAGATGTCTTTTTCCAAGAACTGGTCCTTCCCAACAACATGACCAAAGAAGTATGTGAGGTGAAGTTTTACTATCTTTGCCTCCAAGGAGCATCCTGGTTACCTCTTCTCTAAAATTTATTTGTTCTTTCAACAATCCATGGGACATCAGTACTCTTCTCCAACAATACAACTCAAAGGCATCAATTCTTCTTCTGTCATCCTTAATCATTGTACCACTTTCAGATGTATAGCATGTAACTGAGAAGACTATGGGTTGAATTAGGTGAACTTTAGTCTTTACACAGAGATCATTGCTTTTCTGTACACTGTCAGGACAGCATATTGTCCCAATGTGATACTTCTTTTTGTTTCTTGACTGCTGATACCAAGGGTGTTGTGTATCCAAATAAGACGAAACTGTTGGCAGTGCCAATCTTTTCTCCACTTATCATGATGTTGCCTGATGGCCTAGTGGTAAGGATTTTTGTTTTATGTTGTTTTAGTGTTATTGTTATGTGCTGTCAAGTTGCTGGTGACTCATAACAACCCTATGTACAATAGCTCTGAACCCTGCCATCTCTTGAGCCAATTTCATTGTCTCTGACACTCTTACTTCCTTTCATTGAGTCAATCTATATCATTTGAAGGTCTTCCTTTCTTGTGCTGTTCCTCCACCTTTCCAAGCATTATGTCCTTCTCCAAGGACTGGGCCCTCTTGACAACCAGCCCAAAGTATGTGAGACAGAGCTTCAAAATATTTGCTTCCAAAGGGCAGTTTGGTTTCATGCTCTCTAGGACAGACCTGTTTGTTCTCTTAGTAGTCCGTGGATTACCTTCAATACTCTTCTACAGCACCACAACTCAAAGGCATCAATTCTTTTATCATCCTTAGTCATTATCTAGCTCTGTAATGCATAACAAATAATTGTGAAGACCATGGCCTGAATCAGGCACACCTTATTCTCTAGACTGATATTGTTGCTCTTTGGTACTCTGGAGTGGTCCCTGACAGTAGATGCAAGTCATCTTTTGATTTCCTGGCTGCAGGTAGCAACAGTATTGATTGTGGAGAAAAGCAAGCTGAAGTTGTTAACAATCTCAATCTCTTCTCCATCTATCATGATGCTGTCAATTGGCCTAATGGTGAGAATTTTTGTTTTCTTAATGTTGAGCTTAATTCCATATTGAAGGCTGCATTCCTTGACCTTCTGCAGCAAATGCCTCAGGTTCTCCTCAGTTTCAGCAAGCAAGGTTGTGCCATCTGCATAGCGCAGGTTGTTGATGAGTCTTCCTCCAATCTTTATGACACATTCCTCTTCATAAAGCCTAACTTCCCAAATGATCTATTCTGCATAAAGATTGAAAAGGTATAGAGATAGGATGCATCCCAGACATACACCATTCCTGATCTTGAACTATGCAGTGTTTTCTTGCTATTTTCACAACTGCCTCCTGGTCTTTGGGATTCACATTCTTTTCAAAGTTAACCACAATTTGTTGTGATCCACACAGTCAAATACCTTGGTACAGTCAATGAAACACAGATAGGCATTCCTCTGGTACTCACTGCTCAGCTAAGATCCATCTAACATTGGCTATAATGTCCCTAGTGCCAAGGCCCCTTCTAAACCTAGTTTACCTATCTGGTTGTTCTCTGCTGATGTAGTGTCCCAGCTGTTTTTGGATAATTTTCAGCATGATCTTGCTTTCACGTGATATTAATGAGATGTAATCCATATTGTCGACTATAGTCTTTGATCTTCTGCCACGAGTGTCTCAAGTCATCCTCAGTTTTAGCAAGCAAGATTGTACCACCTGCATAACAAAGGTTATTGATATATCTTCCTCCGATTCTGATGCTACATTCTTTTTTATTTTTAATTTTCTTTTACTATTTGTGTGTGTGTGTGTGTGTGTGTGTGTGTGTACCGTCAAATCGGATCTGACTGGTACAGGAGGGGATTACCTCTCCTTCTCCAGCAGAGCATCTGGTGGATTTGAACTGGCCACATTCTTTTTTATAGAGTCCAGCTTCATGAATCATTTGTTCAGCATACAGATTGAACAAGTATGGAGAAAGGATACAGCGTTGACACAATCTCTTCCCTTGTGATATATACCTTTGAAAACCCATGAGAATGTCAGCTATGACTTAGTTCTGACTCAATGACAATATTGTTGTTGATGTGAGTTTAAAAATAACTTTTTTAATCTGTTTTATACGTTGTTGTTATTGTTATGTGTTGTCAAGTAGTTTGCGACTCATAGTGATCCTATGTACAAAAGCCCTGAAACTTGTTCTATCCTGTGCCAACTTTACTGTCTCTGGCATACCCACATACCATTGTAATATTGATAGAAAAACTTGAAATATTAATTAACCTAATTTTATCAGGAGCTCTGGAGGCCTAGTGGTAATGAGCTGAGCTGCTATTCCGAAGGCATGTAGTTTGAATCCACCAGCTGCTCCTGAAAACCTGCTGTAGGGTCAGCTATAAGTTGGTTTCAGTTTGACAGTCCCTAACAATGACACTTCTCTAATTATGTTATAGAATGTGCTTTTGTTGTTGTGATGTGTTGTTGAGTCCTTGTGACTCAAAGCGACCCCTATGTACAATAGCCCCGAAATCTGCTCTATCCTGTGGCAGTCTAATTGTCTAGCTAGATATAATTCAGAATAAAATCCAGAACTCATCAGAAATTTAAAGTAAAAAGTAAAATGATTACAGGTCAAACGATTGAAGATACAGCAAGAAAAAGTATTAAGTGGTGGCCTAAAATCTCTATTAGAAACGTTTCATGCACGCATTCATGAAATGCTACACACAGCAGGATTTCTGGTGCATGGTACAATGAAACCATGGAGTTTCACATATCCCAGGTGCTAGAAAGTGAACATTAATAATAACAATAACACATTTATTTCAGCTAAATCCCTAAGTGGTGAAAATAGTTAACACTATTGCTGAAGGGGAGGAGTTCAAATCCATCCAGAAACACCTCTAAAGAAAGGCCTGCGTAATCTACATTTGATAAATCAGTGATCAAACACCCATGGGAGAAAGACAATAGGCAACATATTGCTTGGACATTATAATTACTTACATTAATCTATTATCATTAATACTATAAAATGTGCATGAATAACCAAATGAATTGTAATGACAATATTGTAAAACAAAGCATATATGGACGGATTAAAAAACTCAGTATGGTTTGTAAGCTTTTCCTTAGGTAAAAAGAAACTTTTTTTACTTAAAAACAACAACAACAACAACAACAAAATAATAGCCCTTTGGATTGTAATTCCACTCAGATTCACATGAGGTACTGTGAGTTGGAACAGATCCAACAGCAACTGGGGGCGGGGAAACAGCCCAGTAAAAACTTTTATTAGGAGTGAAAACTAGAAAGTTCAATTTAACTAAAAGGCCACATTATGGTTATTTGTTCAGCAATCTATAGCCCTAAATGCAACCCTGTGCATTCATTTCTTCCCTCCCTCACTTCAGCATGAATAACAAGAAGCAAAATAGGTCATGTGTGACCAGGTTTGGGAAGAAGAGGCTTCATGAGCATCTGTGGACCAACCTGTTAGGATCCTGTCGAGCTGTTCCACCATAAACTCCGCATTCTCTTCAGTGAAGCACATAGGTGGTTTGATTTTTAGCACATTTCTGTGAGGCCCATCAGCACTGAGTAAAACTCGCTTTTCCTTCATCCTAATCAGGGCAGGAATTGTATGCAAATGCAATCACTCAGGACCATTACTCTAGAACATTGTGAGCAAAGAGCAGCTTGATGTTCTGCATGCAAGAAACCCACTTCATAAAATGCATATATCTTAAACTCCTCCCCCCTTTTTTGAAGTAGAAGGAAATGAAATCAGGTCTTCAATTGGCGTGGGTGGCTTTACTTGTAGATGATGTGTTGCGCCTCCGCTGTGGCTGGGGTTCTTTTCTCACGGTCGTTCACTAAGTCAATTCCAATAAAAAGACCAGCGCCTCTAAGGAAGGGGAAGAAAAACGTGTTACATGCCCTATGCAGTACTTCACCGTTACAGAAAATTAGCACTGTCCCCACATTGAGTTCAATTTGAAGCCAGATATGATGATCTTTGAAAGTAATTGATATTTCTAATTGGTAGTTGTAACTGATTCTGATTAACCCAAGACACCAATTCTGTGACCACAGATCCTTCTAGTTTGTGAAACTAGTTTGCTCTTTGCCATTCAGGTTTACTCTCACCCTCTTCCAACCCCTATTTAACGATAAGAAATAAAGCTTTAAATGGATACTATTGGTGTTCCTCAGAGTAGAACGATAAATGCTAAACATACATCTGTAAAAAATGCCTACTTTCCCAGGATAGCACTGAAAATTTTCAACAGATAATTTAGAAGGTGCACTGGTGAGCTAGTTAGTAGCAAGGTGCACTGCTAATCCAAAGGCAGAGCCTCTCTACTGGTTCGAATCCACAGGAGAAAGCCGGACAACCACCTCTCCTGACATTTATGGTCTCCTGAAAGCTTACTGGAGGAAATATGACTTGAGAGCAATGAGAGAGAAATGGAGAGGGAGAGGGAGAGGGAGAGGGAGAGAGAATGACTTCATAGCAATGAGAGAGAGAGAGAGAGACGGGCAGAGGGAGAGGGAGAAAGATTAAACACCTTTTCTCCCCAATATTTTTGGAAATTATATGACTTTTCTTTTTTTTTTAAAAAAAAGCTATATCCTCAATTATAATGGTGATATCTGAGTTCTACATTAGGAATGATTTTTGCTATCTATATTTTTGTGTGTACTCTAAATTTAGTTTTATGTGACATATTTTTATTTGTTGTTTTGTGCTATAGAATCTGAACTGACCCATAACAGACTTTCGGGTGGGATTTCAGAGGCAGTTAATCGCACGGAAGGGATTGCCCATCCTTCTCCTGCAGAGCAGTTGGTGGCCTCGAACTGCGTGCCTTTGGATTGCAGCACAGCTTCTTGCACTAACTAGGCCACCAGAGCTTCCCATTTTTATTTAGAAGAGAAAATATAAACTAGTTTCATTTTGGAAAAAAAGAGTAACTATAATGACATCACGATAAACATACCTAATATCTCCTATCAAAGTATGCTTAGCCTTCTGTTTATTCAGTAACTCAGTAAGATAATTTCCTACTCTGGTTGCATTTCCTTGAAGATCTTCATTTTCAATTATATCCAGGACAGTGAGGCCAACGGCACAAGATACTGGATTTCCTCCATACTGTAGAAAAAAGGTGAAAATGGGGGGGGGGGAAGGGGAAGGGGGAGATGTTCAAATATATCAGTATCTTTTCATCTTTGAGAAATCTGAAGAATAAAATGTCTTTTATGGAATTGTTCTTTTTTTTTTTGGAATTGTTCTCATGCTCCATCAAATTGAAAACATTGACTCATAACTAATCCTCTCATGAGCTTCAGAGGCAATAAAGGACACCCATGTTTATTGCAGCTTTGTTCACAATAGCAAGGAGTTGGAAACAACCTAAGTGCCCATCAACAAACGAATGGCTAGAGAAGCTGTG